TTGTGGCTGTTTACTACTTTTTGTCTTTAGGATTTTTGGCATTTTACCCATCATTTCAGATATTACCTTCGCAGTCACATATTGTATTATGTTGATGTTATTGAGGTTGAGTACCTCTTCTGCTATTACCTACTGAATTGCTTAGTTTGCTTGTTTGATCAACAGTTTCACTTTTCTGTTCATTGATATCTTGGGTAGAAGGGACCCCTCTGTCATTCTGATGTTTTCCCATTCAGTCCTTGCCAGCTCTTAATTTCTTTAACTAAGTCTTCGATCTCAGATGGATTATAGGATGGTCCTACCTCATCTTCATTTTGTTGCCTCATAAAGGTTGTTGGCTTTTTCTTCAAACGCATCATCTACTACGCTCTCTATTTTGTTGTTTTGTACAGTCAATTAATTTTCAATCCGTTCCTTGATGTTATCTAGCTCAATCCTTGTTAGTTTGTTTGGTTTTTCAAAAGATCTTCGTTGGTTCATCACCGCGTTGTCTGTTAAATTGGGCCTTTCACTTGGGTTTCTTTCCCTCCATATTCTGTATGTATCTTTTGTTACACCTTCACTGTGGCCTGTCTTTGCCTTATATTAGCAAAACATGACTTCAGTGTAATCCTCTCGTGTCCATTTCTGTCTGGTGTTTGTTCTTTTTGTGTTTCTACCTGCCCGATCTGGTGAGGAAGGACCCTCTTGGGAGAGACTCTCAGTTGGGTTGGCCGCCACTGCAGGTGGAGGGGGTAGATCAGTAGCCAATTTTTCGACCTCAGCCTGACCACTCACTGAAGGACGCGCTCCTTGATGACCCGCACGACGGGCGATGCGGTATGAATTCCTTGTATTTCTACTACTCATATTGGTGAAGATGCTATTTGACCCATAGCCGGAGAGAGGTTATCCCGCGCCAGATCTCAACTTGGTATTTCTAACCCTCGCGGTTTTATCATTACTATTATTATTATCATTATTGTTATTATTGTTATTATTATTATTATTATTATTATTATTATTATTATCATTATTGTTACTTCTAACACCGATATATATACTCTTGGCGAAACAAGACTCGAGGTAGCTTCCGTTCTTGCCGGCCGGCATATGTGTGCTCATTCGCACGCAAGAAAATATGACTTCCCTCTACAGAAGCTTCTCTGTTCCAATGAAACACGGACCTAAGCTCAAATCTTGACTCCAGTCGTTCAAAGTTTTGTTAACTGTTCTTCTTTGCGGTATGTTAGAGAAAGGTTGATCATGAAGAGTTTCAAAAAGGATTACTTGGAGATGTTATGCAACTCAGCGAGGCGGGACATCCCAAGATTCCTCATACACTCTTATTTCCCTCTGCGCTTCCGAGACTGTCAAGGGACAGTAAGCTCTGTTGCAAGGAGGTGCACCAAAGGCTAATTTTTTTAAGGGAAATCTAGTATCATCAACTGAGTTGATAACGTAAATTAGCCACTGTAAAGAGTTTAAAAGCTAATATTTCGAGCGTTAGCCATTGCCAATTGCTCTGACGGAGGGCTAACTCTCGAAACGTTAGCTTTGAAACTCTTTATGGTGACCAATTTACGTTATAAACTCTGGTGATAATACTGAATTACCCTTTTATACTCTCCCACTGACACAGCACCACAGTTTCTTTAGAAATTAGCCCCCCTTAATTTTGTTTGCGTTGTTCTCTTATGTGGGGGTCAAGTTAAGGGCTAAGAAAAATTTACAGTGATGCGAGAAACTAGGATTGCTGTTAATCGCTGAGTAATTACTTTACCATCAGCAATTAAAGACATTCCACTCCCTGAACTTAGAGTTATTCTTTATTAAATCTTCTCAGGTGTGTCAAAAAACTCCATTTTGTAACTGGCTTCCCTGCAACCCCCAACGTACCAAACGTTAGTGAAGAATTCCCTTTGTACGAAAGTTTCATTTCGCGTAATTTCTCAATTGGAACTGTTTTATTACAGACCCGAGGAAAATCTCTCCAGATGCCTTGAGATCATTGTTGCTGATCATAACAAGGTAACAGTAATGACTCTACAGCCGTTTACAAACGAACAGTTAAATTACTTCAAGTTCGCTTTTGTCGTGAGACTGTCGTGCTCAGTGAATTTCCAAAGGTATTACGCCAAGTCTTCAAAACTAGGTGGGACAACACCTTAACACATCTTCCTTTTCTTTCAATCTTTTTCTATTCATTAACCATATTTCTAGATCTCATGCAGCTGCGGTGATATCCACTGTTATGATTTCCATCCTTTTTGAAGTTTGAGTTACATTTTCTGGTATACTAAGTACTGTTGCAGAGATTGCGCCATAGCAAAATCTTGTAATAATGTTGAAACGGTCTATTGAACCCACCATGGAATTGAATATATCTTGTGTTTTTGTTTGCGAAATGGAAGCGTCTTATGAAGAAATTTTCATACTCTTAACTCGTCCCAATTTGAGCAGTACTTAACTCTATAAAAGTGATGAAAATTCAATCTTACTTTTCTGAAATCAAAACTTTTCAACGGATGCGCCTACGGGGAAATACCGGGAACCCAGTGCTTCGTCATAGTGGAGACATGTTGGCTTCACTTAGCTGATAAGCTATTGATATGATTTTACCTGAGCGGTTTTCAATTGAGTGTAGAAAATAATCCAAAATTACTATGCTCCCACTTTACTTTGCTCTGCGATTGGTACAGAAAACCCTCACCATCCTCTAAACGAATCAGGTTCAAAACTTGACCAATTGCGTCTTAGTCAATTCCGTTTTTGCGCGCTCCAGGTGGTTTGCTTGTTTCTACTTCGAGATCTCATTGGCTGCTTATGATGTTTTCCATTGTTCTCAGTGATTGATTTTGATGAGTTTGGCTTTGACTTTACTACAATCAATACTTTACCTCCTCCGTGTCAAACGTCACTGGAGCTGCCTCAACCCTTTACACCCTAACATCATTATGCATATTCTCCATACTGTTCTTTACACATTTCCTCAGTTTTAACAAGGAGAATTTGTAAAACCATCACGAGCTTCGTTAGTTGCTGATCATTTCCTTTATTCTCGTGACTTAAACATTTGATTCAAGAGAAGGATTGTAAAGAGAAATTAGAACCTTGTCACTCTTAGGGATTATAGGGTTAAAGCGCCATTAGATTTGTTTTGGTTTATTTGTACTAGGCGGCCATCTTGATTGCTCGCGTTCACATTCTTGTAGTAAAAATAATCATCCTCTTTGTTGTACAGAATTCTTTATAAATATCTACTGTTTGAGAATAAATGTGGCTTAGAGAGAGAACTCGGTCGAAACAGCAGTGGTTGGATAACTGTGGCTTATCTTCAAAAGAAGTGCTTACCATTGTGTTCTCTCGACGTAATAGATGCGTGACGTATAACGTCTGATACAGGCTGGATATGTCACGTGCGCGTTTTTGAAAGGCTCGAAGTTATGGGCGAAGTGAGTTTCTGGCGTGGACATCTCATTAGCTAAACGCGACGCATGAATCATCAGCGTATGTATTTGAGCCTGTTTGAAGAATGCATTTGGCATAATGAAAGTACTGCTTAGATCCTACCCGCGAGCGAGGGGAGCGTGGGGCCCTCGTTCCTCGCCTCTTGACTTGCGTTTTTTTGTGATTAGCGCCAAAAAAAAAACGAGAAAGTTAAAAAATTTGAATCACCTGAGGTAGCTTAAATTATTAAATCCATCTTGATGGAAAATAAACGTTTAAATACAACTAAGGCGTGCCAAAATGCATGCACCAATGACAGCTAACCATTATTCCATCATGCAACATAAGTATTGACGTGTAATCATTCGACCTCATCGCCTGACTAAGTCGATGTTTAGAAGCACTCAGCAGTTCAAACGTCACGATTTGTAACTCACAGTTTGATTCTACAATCAATAGTAACTATAAATCATAAGATAGAAATACGAGAGATGGTAAGTTTTGAGCTCGGTAAAGAATTAAAGAAAGATGTTTTTCATCTTGTCACGAACGTGGGACAAAGAATCTACAAACATTACGCTATCGACATTGTTGATCCTAGTAGTATGCAGGACGCGTGTCATATGAACTTCGTAATAGACCTCGCTCACCATGGAGTCTCTGTGGCTCAGTGATAGAGCATTGGAGCGCGGAATCCGAAGGCCTGAGGCTCGATTCCTCATGGGGATACAGAATTTGTTCTTTGTTCCATGCTTGTGACGAGATGAAAAACATCCTTCTTTATTTATTTGTCATGTAAAGTAAGATACTAAGTCGCGAGAAAAACATTGTGACCTCTGTTTTCTTAAATTCGAATGCCTCGGGCGTTAGTCATGAGTCACTTCATCCCATCCCGTTTCTCTTTAGGCGGTGTTCTCTGCTGCGTATTTCAAGTATTTGACTCGTTACCAAGACTCAGAGATTTCTTTAGTTCCGAACGACTTCGGATTCTTAATTGTAAAGGTGAGTAAATACATTCCCTTTTGTTGCCTGTTACTTGCCCAATCAGAACAGTAAATTGGTAAACCGACTATTTTCCCTCGCTCGCCATGCGGCGTATTCAGCTTAAATTTTGTAAGTTAATTAGGAGATGCGCCTAAATATCAACGACCTGAGAGACAGAGAAGTATTCCTTCACATCTTAGTCCAAAAATATAAGCTAATCGTTAACATTTTACTTGAAGCAGCCAGACGATTCACTTCTATCTTGAAGGGGGTTGTGAGGTATTTCCTAAAATGACTCAGATGGGGAGGCTCCGCCCATTAGACGGACCTTATCCAGGCTTCAGATTTTTTTAACGGATTGCGAAATCTGTCGGTTGGATATTCAAAAGGGAGGCTTAAAAGGAGCACAAATGTTTTTTGGAAAGTGTACGAAAAGGATGCCTTTTCTACAATTGTAAAAGTGAGTAAGGGGTTGGACCTCGACGGGAACCTTCTCATCTAGAACTTCTTAGAGCACCCCCCGACCTTGATACCGCTAAGAACAGTTTCCTGGCGGTATTGCATCCTTACCACTTTTTTCCTCAAACAGCTTATATTGTCGTTGAACCCAGACCCTGCGGAAGTTGTCATACACAAGAGAAGAATTCATTCTCGCTGCCGATCTTTCACTTCGACGTAGGCGAGAGAAGGTAAGTTATTTCTGCGTTTTATCTGGATCAGATGTTTGTTGAGTCAATGCTGTCCAAACTATAAAACGTTTGAGAACTGTTGGACCTCAAAGTGGAGTTTACCCGTATAGAAAGTTTACTTCGTTAGTAACCTACCCCTTCCCTCGGTTGTCGATGCCATAAGTAGCCTTTACTGAGCCTAAGTTTTAGCAAATTTTGCTTCTTACACTAATACGCTGTCGTTTCACTCCTTCGTAGTGAAAGCTGTTGTAAACGAGAAGGGAAGTTCACTCTGATTCAGACAAGAAAAGGTGAGACATCTCTGCGCTTTATTTGGACAACATATGTGCACGTTATTCGGATATTACTTCAAAAAAATGCTGTCGAAAATTAATAGCGTTTGAGAAGCGAAGGAGTCGACGGTACGCCCGAAAGTAGTGAAAGCAGCTTGAACAAAAACCTTAAGTGCCGCTCTCGGTAAGAACGGTCCTCCGGACTTCTCGTTGGACAAAAATTTTCTTTAATGATTTTACGCTGTTATGGACCACAACGGTTTTGAGTGACAAACTCAAGATTTCCCTGCGATCATCAAAATTAACTGGACAAACCCAGCCCATGTATTGCCTGACGTGATTATGCTAATTTTTCTCTTGTCGTATAACCTGTTTCGCGGGTTGTAAAAAGTGAAATGTAACGAATTAGAATCGAAAGTTATTATGTTGGTATTGCTCTCTCTCACTGCCTCACATTTTCCCTGCGCTCTGAGTGCCAACTATTACTTTCACCGCATTTCCAATGTTTCCCAAAGTGTTCCGATGTTTAGAACACACCAATATCTGTTTTGTTTTTCCATTTTGAGGCTAAAGTGATCCGAACGAAACAAAATTAACTTGTACTTGAGGATTTCGCTTGATAGCTGGTAGTGCCTTTAATGACTCGATACGTTGTCCTGGTATTCTACGACAGAAATCAGGGCTGAAACGCCCGCAGCTACAACATTCTTTGCATTCCATGAATCAAGTAAACATTTCAAAAGATAAAATTCTCAGTAAAATGTAAAATTCCTCAGTCCATTTTAATAACTTTCGATTCTAATTCAATGTAGAAAATAAACAAACGATTTTTGAACGATGAGAAGAAGATCTTAGTCAATTTTCAGAATGAATTTGCGTTGTTTTTAAGATGCTGGTGGATGAAAGTTAGAGATATACCCGCGGGTTTGAGGCAATCGGTGATCTCATTGGTGCATAAACTATGTACCGATATGCTTTTTTAGCACGATTAACGCCTGCAATTTAAGAATTCTTTCGTACAAAACGGTGAACTTTGATATTAAAATTAAGGTCGAAGAGAAGGGTCTCTGATCACGCTGGTATAAAATATTTCAGGCGAAGTTTCCATATTTTGTCTGTGAACTAACTGAATACATCTTGTAGCTTGTAGCGAGATAAAATTCCGTGAGCTATATTATCGCAGTCGCTGCGCGCTGGACAAAATCTGTAAAATTTACACTTTTGATCGCTGTCCACACGGGTGATCTAGCAATGATACTTACTCCCTTTCTTAAAAAAGAATTAAAGAAAATTTTTTCCTAACGGGAAGTCGAGAGGACCACTCTTAGCGAGAGCGGCACTCTTATTTCCCTCTGATGCACTTCCAAGACTGTCAAGGGGACAGTAAGCTCTCTGTTTCCAAGAAGAGCACCACAGGCTAATTTTTTGTAGGGTAATTTAGTATTATCGACTAAGTTGATAACGTAAATTGGTCACCGTAAAGAGTTAAAAAGCTAATGTTTCGAACGTTAGCCAATCGCTCCGACGAAGGGTTAACGCTTGAAACGTCAGCTTTTAAACACTTTGCGGTGACCAATTTACGTTATGAACTCAGTTAATAGTGCTAAATTACCCTGATATACTCTCCCACCGATGCAGCACCACAGCTTCTTTAGAAATTAGCCCCCTTAAGTTTTTTTTTAGTTGTTCTCTTATGTAGGGGTCAAGTTAAGGGCTGAGAAAATTTACATTAATGCGAGAAATTAGAATTGCTTTCAGTCGCTGGGTAATTACTTCACCATTAGCGGTTAAAGACATTCCTTTTCCTAAACTCAGAGCCATTCTCGATTCAATCTTTTCAGGTATCTCTGAAAATCTCCATTTTACAATTGGCTTCGCTGCAACCCCAGTGTACCAAATTTTAGTGAGGAAGTCCCTTCGTACGAAGGTTTTTTTTTTTGCAATTTCTCAATTAGAACTGTTTTATTACAGACCCCAGGGAAATCTCTCCGAATATTCTGAGATCATCGTTGCTCGTCATAACAAGGTAACAGTAATGACTCTGCAGCCGTTTACAAACGAACAGTTAAATTACTACAAGTTCGCTTCTGTCGTGATCAATGAATTTCCAAGGGTATTACGTCAAGCTTTCAAAACTAGGTGGGACAACACCTTGAGACATCTTCCTGGTTTCCAGCCCTGGGATGACTCCGTTGCCGTGCGGAATCTGTTCCTTGCCACAGAGGGTGGATCAACTAAAGTCCCTACTAATCTTTCGTATGATTCCTGGGATTGTACTGCCTTGTTCCAAGCCACCATCTTCGCAAAGTCCTTTTCTATGCCAGACGGCAGAGGACATCAGAGAACACTCAGCTATTTGTTCGTGAGACCCCATGGACTCCCTCCCGGAAGTTTCCATGCTTCTGTGATCAGCTCAACTGGGAACGATGCTGAGTCCTTTACTTTGGCTATCGATCAACTGCGACTTTTACGAAATGCGTTCTGCCACGCACCAAGCTCCGAGATCCGAAAAGCAACATTCGACATGTACATCCAACTAACCAAAGACGCGTTCCAAGCCCTTGGTGTCTCATCCAGCTGTGTGAATACAATTGGAAGTTTAACTGAGGCAGATTTCCCAATAGAAAAAGTCCGCAAGCTCGAGGATGAGATCAGAAAAGAGGGTCAGGCTGAAAATGTGTTCCTCAAAGACCGAGTAGAAAATAAGCTGATGGGTATGATGTCTGATATCGCAGAAGCAAACCAGGAGCGGCGGGATGAGGCAGAACGGACAGTGACAGAGATAAAAGAAGGGTTCCGACAGCTGAAAATGCAAAATGAAGAACAGAAAGAACAAACTTTGGAGTCAGTGGAAAGAGCTATCAGGTCTCATAATGCGCAATCGAAGCGAGCAAGAGAAGAAGAAACAGCACACGTAGCCAAAGAGAGGAAGGAGGACATTCAGCTGTTGGAGAACCAGTTGCAAAGGCACAATGAGGAAATGAGAAAGGAGGCGTTGGAGCTTAAAGAAACTATCAGGTCTAAAATCGATCAATCAAACCAAGCAAGAGAGAAAGATGCAGCATCAGCAGCTCAAGAAAGAAAAGAAGAGATTCAGGAGTTGAGGAAACAATTGGAGTTGGCAACATCATCTGTACCCCAACAAGAAATGAGTCAGGAACTTTCTGAATTGAACCAAAAGATTGATGACATCACCATAAAGACCACGAAACAAGGTAATAGGCCTGCTGTTGTTTGTCTTAAAGACTACTTCTTTTCGCAGGAACAACAAGATAATGTTTTTTTGCGATTGTTATCTATTAAGGGGAGAACTACCAGATAGTCTTCAATAAAGCAGTCAGAAACTTTGAAGGCCACTCTTCCTATAACAATAAGTTTTGTTAATTAATGAAGCCAAACTTCTCACATTAATTCTGTCATTTTGTCGCAGAGTTTAAGCCCGCTCTACCAAAATCAAATCTTCCCTCAATGGTTCCTCACTTCACTGGGCGCGAGGAGGAGTGCAACGACGTCATTGCTCACGTGACCAACGAAGCCACTCGCCTCGTTTCCATATGGGGCTCGCCAGGGTTCGGAAAAACGTCGACTGCAATCGCCATAGGACATCGCCTCCAAGCGCAAGGCCTGCCGGTATACTTTATTTCGTTACGTGGCCTAAGGTTAAAGAGTGATCTAACGTCAAGATTTCTTGGACTGTTTACGCATTCTGCGACAGCATCCCAGCGTTTGACAGCAGATGACGAACTTTGCTCAATTTTGGCTCAAATTGCAAATCCCTTCGTTTTCATCCTTGATAATGCCGATGATCTTTTTGAAAGTGGCCTTCCGAACGTCAAAGAGGAAGTTGTTGATTTAATTGGAGAAATTTTCAATTGCACCCATAAGGTAACGTTTCTTCTTACCACAAGGGAATCATGTCAATTCTTAAATCTGCGCTTCAAAGGACACAATGCTTTAAGAATTAGAGAGCTGGATGAGCAATCCTCTTCAAAACTTGTTCAAGCACTGCTTCCAGAAGCGAGTAAGTCTGATTGTATAAAAGTTAGGCAGATTTGCGGGAGTGTACCATTGGCCATGAAGTTGTTGTGTTCCTCCATTTCGGGGGATGCTACCGGAACATCAAGTGGGTCTGTTGACATGTTCTTGAGTACCACATATAATATTCTGGAAATGTTGGACAACCCAGACTATCCCAGCAATCAGAGGTTGAAGTATCTTTTTGACGCCTCTTTTCAGAGACTTTCCGTAAAGGAAAGAGAAGCACTGATCTCACTTTGCATTCTTCCCAACCACTTTGACCTACGTGTCGCATCAGCTGTGTTAGGAATGAAAACAATTCAAGCTGCTAGAATGCTGCAGATACTCCAGCGAAAATCCCTCATTGATTCGAGTACCAAAGCTGAGAAATACTCCATCCATAAGCTGTTATTGTCATTTATACAGGAAAAAGGGGAAAACGAAATGAAAGAAATGGTTCTCAACGCTAAAGTGCGTTTTTTTGAACTGCATGTTTCCCTCTTCGAGACGCTAACAGAAAAATTTCTCACCGGACGTTCCATGTCGGCTTTCCTTGAGTTTTTTCAGAAAGAGGAAAGTTTCGTTCAAAGTCTAATTGACGGTTGTCTGGAGAAAAGAACCGTAAGTAAAGTTTGCAAGGTTTTGATTAAAGCTGAAATGTATCTCTGCTTTCTTTACTGGCAAGATTATACTATGATTGACATCATTTACGAAACAGCAATAAAGGCAGCCAATGATCACAGTTGGCTTTACCCTGTCCACAAACGACTGCTTCTGTCGAAAACGTATGGTAGCTTGGTTATGGGCGCAGCTGCAGAGACGGAGAGGCTGCTGTCGGTGAATAAGCAGGTTCAGTGGTCTACTGCCATCCAAGACACAGAATTGCAAGGAGAATTCTTGACTTACCAAGGATTGTACAAAATGTTTATCGGGAGAGTTGAAGAAGGAGTGAGACATTTAGAAGCAGCGCTTTCGTTAATAGAGACAACTCCAAAGCACAGAATCCTAAAGCTCATTATTCTCCAAGTTCTTGCTCTTTATCAAAATTCCAAAAGGAACCCGTTAAAGTCACTTGACCTTTACAAAAGAGCAGTAGATGAATGCAAAGCAATGGGAGACATGGGCTTAGTAGTAATTCCGGAGATCGATGAAACCAGGAGAGAAGAAGACAGGATACATCTAAACAAAACCAGACTGACCCATAACCAGCCACTTCAAACCGAAGTTCTCATTCTCGTGAGTCAAGCAGTAAAGAACATCTCCACTGATAAAACCAGCCAATTCTTTAGTAATTTACTGCTGCAAATACTGACGGAATCTGACTCTGCCATACCAACTGGTGCAACTGGTCGGTTCCATTTTCATTTCTCTGGATTAAGAATGCTCCTCAAATTAAAAGGGAAAAAAACCACTGACAGCGCTGATACATTAGGAGCTACTCAACATTCACTTGGAGACTTTGTGTCAGCCCTTGAGTCAAACAAGCGTGCACTGAATATCAGGTTAAAAGTCCTGGGTGAAGAACATTCACAAACCGCTGACAGCTATGATTCATTAGGAGTTACTCAACATTCACTTGGAGACTTTGTGTCAGCCCTTGAGTCTGCCAAGCGTGCACTGAATATCAGGTTAAAAGTCCTGGGTGAAGAACATTCACAAACCGCTGACAGCTATCATTTATTAGGAGCTACTCAACATTCACTTGGAGACTTTGTGTCAGCCCTTGAGTCAAACAAGCAAGCACTAACTATCAACTTAAAAACCCTGGGTGAAGAACATTCACAAACCGCTGACAGCTATCATTTATTAGGAGCTACTCAACATTCACTTGGAGACTTTGTGTCAGCCCTTGAGTCAAACAAGCGTGCACTGAATATCAGCTTAAAAGTCCTGGGTGAAGAACATTTACAAACCGGTGACAGCTATCATTTATTAGGAGCTACTCAACATTCACTCGGAGACTTTGTGTCAGCCCT